GTCTTGGAGCCAATGAAACCTCTGGCTTGGAATAGGGTTCGCTTGGAAGGCTAAGTGGAAAGGTTTTGACTTCCACTAGTTAGTCTTTGTTCTAAGAGAATGGAAAATGAGATAATTGTGAATGAAGATTAAACTTTTGGCATGGCATTTTATTCCATTTGATTCTATAGATGGAAATGTTTTTCAAGGGTAGAATGCAACTAGCGAAGCATTATCTATTAACATCCTAGCGAGAATGCGTATAATGATTACTCATTTGCAATTCTTTCACGTTCACTCCCATATACATTCTGACCTGGTTCCTTGGAAGCATCAAACTTCCTGTTTTAACATGTTTTAGATTATTTAATGAGAGCAATCTCAAATAAATTCATGCAAATTCATCTAGAGTTGTTCTGAAACATTCTGATTAAGCCATCGAGGACTCATTGATTTTTTATACTGAAGTTAAAATAAGAATAATCTTATATGCGGATTCAAAAAAATGTGATTTATCTAGTATGGGTGTTAAATGAGTTTTTATTTGGTGCAGATAAACCCCAAATAGATGAACTTCGTCAATTTCTTGAATTTCAGTTGCCTCGGCAATGGTCTCCATCGTATGATGATGTGCTTCATGGATTTCGTCCTAGACGCCAAAAGAACAAATCGCCATCACTCCAGTTCACTTTGTTCGGATCCACGCTTTATGTTAACACCATAAAGGTAATTTGTTAATACATTATTTAAAGTCTGAACTGAAGTCTGAAGTGAAGGTTGTGTAAGCCTACATTCAAAAAGAAGGGGAAAAATCACATTGTATTCATGTATTTTGTCTTTGCGTTACCATTGCGGCAATTCCACATACACCACCAAGCAATGTAAAACGGTTCACACTTGAGATTGTTTGCTGTCTCGTTACATGCTTAGTTTTCCTCCATAAACATTTTCAAAGCCATGTTTGGTGTGCGGAAAGGAAGGTAATCATGGAAAATAAGGTTGATTTTTACTTTTTAATGTAGTGTCTGTTTTTCCTTTATTGTTGTTACTAAACATTGTTTGTCCCTTAGTATTATCATTTTTATTAAGTAGGACTATGGGTATCATTTTGCATTTATTTTTCTTTACTTTTTGATAATACCTGGCATTCTGCCTTTTAACTTTACAAATTTGAAGGTTGATTCTGGATATTGTCCTGTTACAAGTATTCGCTTGTTCTTGGAAGGCAGCAAGAGTGACCATCTGGCTATCCATCTCCAGCATCTTTCAAATCTTCCACAAATCCTTAAAATCTCTTATGATATTGGTTGTGAATCTAATGATGAGCCAGTTGATAAAGCCTACTTTGAACCTGTGAAGTGCAAACAGTTGTCACATGTCTGCACAGCGCCAGTGTTGTTCAATAATTCGCTTGATAATGAGACCCCAGCCATATTAACGAAGGCCTGGCTTGAGGTCAAGCATGTGAAGTGGAGAAAAGTTCTTTTCTTGAGGCTTGGGTTTTCCCTGGTAGAATCTGTAGAAATTTACAGATCAGAACGGGATGGATCTCCGTTTCCATTTCGAAAGTCAGGGTTCTTTTCAGCATTGACGAGCACAATGCTGACCAAGGAACTGCATCACGTGATTGAGAATGAAAAGCCGACTGAAGAAGATAGCATAAAACTAGTAGTTTATAATAGTGAGTCTGGTACTGAGGCACCTCTTCCAATAAAGGCCCTAAAAATGCTCAGCTTTGTGGATACGAAGGAAAAGGTTAAAGGTCCAGAAGACAGGCCTGGATATTGGGTGGTCACAGGAGCCAAACTTTGTATAGAGGGAGGCAGAATCTCCATCAAGGCCAGGTATTCATTGTTAGTTAATATGTCAGGAGATTTTATGACTACATGAGCAGACAGACATCTCTTTGTACATTTAGATACATGTAAATCTGACTTGTACCTTCATTTATCATTCATCTAGTTTCCATTTTGGTCCTTCAATTGCACGGTATGATTTATTCTTTGCTAATGAATACCTGTATGAACAAAATTTTGTATTTTTGTGTTCTGTTGTATTTTGTTGGTTCTCGCTTGGTGCTGCCAATCGGCTTTCATCTGAATCATTTGGATGTTGCCTTGATATTGGAAATTTAGCACTTCAATGCGATTGGATTGGAGAACAGAGGAGAAAAGTTAAAGAGGGGATTTATTTTATTACGTGGCATACATCAAATAGGATTCGTTCCACCTTTCTTGGACTTAAGAAACCTTGAATATCAAAGAACAAAAATTGGATATTTTCACACACATGATTGAGACCAGGAAGTAACAAATTAATGGAGCTCCAAGAGGTGGAATATATAAAAGTCATTGGCACCAGAAATTAAGAAAATCGACATCATCACCCGTTACTTTTTGTAAATTTTCTCCTGTATGCCGCTTTTCAAAATAAAATATCATTATATTGTTTCTATATATAATTTAGCATATATGTGTTATATGTATAATTTAATATACATGTAATTTTTTTAAAAATATATATATTAGAATATGTATACATACATCATTTTACTAAAATATTAGATCTTTAACACGTTTTGGAATTCAACATTGGGTCTTTGATGTATCACTGACTTATTGCAGGAAAAACTAACTTAGAAGTTCATATAATTTACCTCAGTTTTGAATCTGGTCCATAGTCACCCCGAAGCAAAAAAAAAAAAAAAAAAAAGAATCAATCTTTTCACTTTACATTGTTAGATCCATTAGTCCCTTAACTAATGACCGTTATCTATCTCCTTCCCCCATAAACCCCAAAAGTTTCAGACCAAAACCCTCCTTCCTCCTTCGATGTTCATTCATTGCTCAATATCTTTGTTCATTCCTCCTTCGTTCTGCTATAGAAGCAATTGCAGAGATTATGGCTGCATTTAGCCACCGATGGCTATTTCTTGTTTGTGTCATTGAAATCCTGCACCATTTTTGGCAAGCGAAGTGAACTTAGCTCAAACTTCGAACGTCCTCCATCTCTGTTGGATGAGTATTTGTTGGTGGCAACGAGTTTCTCCAGTGAGAAATTCCTCAACACACTCAGAGATTGGTTGTCAAAGACGAACAACTTTCTTGGCAACAACTTCAAAACTAGATTTGACGAATCATTTCGAACCATCGCTTCCCTGAGCTTTCAGGCATCTAGATCAATGATTTGATCTTAGTCGAAGGCATATGGCCTAGAGAAGTATTAAATTTGTACAGTTTTACTTCATTTTCAAAACTCAATGAATATGAATTTACCAAAGAAAGCATGTGCCACAATTACAAGTGGAACACAAATTCACATAGTATAAATTGAATTGATAAAATTCTTTTCTTTCCTAGAAAACTCAAGGAGACTATTAAAACAAGAAAACTACAGTCACTATCTACTATTCCTATTACCTGCAGAAAATGCATAAACAAAATCAAGGAATCAAGCAAAATTTCCATCGTCCAAAATCGCAACTCATCACCGAATTGAGATGAAAAACTTCATCAGAATTTTGGCAGCAGCAACAAATCTTTACTTTCCCACAAGCATAGAAGCATGGAATAACTTGAAGAGTAGGTGAGAGTAGAAGAAAATGGCTTTGAGCTGAAGGCTTTCATAGGACACTGGACGAAGGTTAATCAGAGAGAGAAAAATAATTTGCCAGAAAGTCATTAGGTAAGGGAGCTATATGGAGGAAGTGAATGGGGATTTAGAGAACTGAACCCAAACTGACTTACCAATGGTCAATGATTTTGCTCCTTCATTTTTTTTTGAACTTCGGATCATCAATAGGAACGTCAAGTATTTGGAGATGACCAATGAGGTAGCTGATGTTAGAAGATGTGAGTCTATACTTTCCTCCTTTTGTCTTTGTTTCTTAAGACTTTACACTCTATACTTTAACACCATTAGAATCACCAGATGAGCCAGGGTTAGCTTGTAAGATGGATTTAACAAGTATGGCTTTCTTTCGCTTCTTGTTCTTCTTCTTGTTGGCTTTGGAATGGGCAAAAGTTGCTATAATTTCTTGCAGGGACTTGACCTCTGTGATCAATTGTGTTATAAGCTTAGACAAGTTCTCAATCCTTTCAGTGGTACCTGCAATATTAACACCCACAATACCTTTCTCAAGGCAATTTGAGTCAGAAACAAGAATAACATTTGATGTGTTAACTTTATAAGTACATGATGTGAAAAAAGTACAATCCAAATGAGCAACTGTGGAGTATCTCATTTCATCACCATTCATAGGGAAGGGAGAAGAATGGGGTGGAGAAGTTGGGGGTAGCATATAACCATTAGCATGAGCATGTGTGAGAGATAACCCATGTTCACTTGAAGCATCATCAATCAAAGTATCAATAACACTAACAGCAAAAAATGAATTATTTTCATACAATCTTTTCATGGCATCTTTAATGTTGAAATGCACATAATGGTCTCCCATAGACATGGTAATAGTCCATCTTGACAAGTTAATATTAGTATTTGTAGTCATCAAGAAGGGCCTACCTAGTAATAAAGAACCATTACCCCTAGACTCATTAGCTATATCCAACACATAAACGTCAGCTAGAAAGATTAATTTATCATTATTTTTGCTTGTATTGTTTTCTTTATGGTAAAACTTCAAATAAAAGTTATTTCTGATGTGACCATAGAATTTTTTTTTTCTGTGTAACCATGGAAATTCAGTTTGTTACCTTGAGAAAATTCTTGTTAATAGACCTGCAACCTCATGGGGTTTACTTTTAAAATCTGACTGTAACAATTGATCATTTTCTCAACCATATATTGCATGAAAGTCGACAAACTGTAAGCTCCTGCCAGCACGAATATCTTCATAGATATAGATATTTAAGTATAAGATGCTAGCAGTCTATATGAATGAGTTTTGAACCTACTTTTTCTTATCTTTCATCCATAGGAACATTTTAAGTTTCCTTTCAACTGAATGGTGCACTGAATAAGACATAATTCTCCAGGTTCATTGAGGTAAGGATGTGGCTCATATGAAGCAGTTCAAAAGCTCACATCTTCAACCCACTGAAGTGCAGAGATTGCTCAAGAAAGAGGCTGATAAGAGGCTTTCTGAGGACGGAGATATATGTTGCGGTTCCGATCAAGCCGGAATATCAGTAACATTGGAGGTTTAGAAGATTGAATGCATCACCATCATTTTTAGCTCTCTAAAGAGGATTATATATAATGTGGAAGATATGCCATGCACAAGCCTTTCTTCTTGACTGTGTTACCCAAATTAAGTCCTAAATACAAATAGTCTACCTGCACATTTTTATCTGAGTTTCCTCACACCTAAATTTTCTTTTATTGCTTCTGTTCATGATTCAGATCCAGTATAAGTGTAAGTTTAGCATTCTCAATTTGGTGAAACAATTTCATCTCGTTTCCCCTTTTGTTTCATTTAATGGTATGCAGTTTTACCTTTTTCTCTTTTTCTTTTACTTATAGTAAGACTGAATTTATCTTAATTACCAGGAACCATTGTGGTGAATGGGAAAGAGAAATATGTTGATATTTTCTTCATAAATTGATTTGTTGATAATAAGACTACGCTAGTTTGCTATACTGCGCGCGCGTGTTCAAAAACACCTTAACATAGAGACATAATTTTATATTCAATATTAAACATAACGGACAGGGAAAAAATCGATTTAGATTTAGTTACTTAAAATTTGAAAGAATATATGAAATGTTCTGATCGTCAAAAAATATTCGCTGTGATCTTTGCAGGATGACGGAGATGAGCCATGGAAGGTTGATGTAGCTCTTGCGGCAGCTGTTAGACCAATTGTAGAAAGTCACTCAAACAAGGAGGTTGGTATTAGTTTCAACTGTCATTGTTTCTTACGCATCAAGCAACGATCCCGCTGTTATCACATCTGGGCTGTTATTTGAATATACTTCAAACAGGATCTCATGAGCATTTCTGTTCCAAGGGGAGGTATTGTTGGCATTCACCAGCTAAGGAGTGGCTTTCTACTATATCACAGTCAACTGAGGCCATATCAATGCTGTTTGTGCCTATTACTTCACTGCTTAGCTCCAGTCCAGGCCATGGGTTCTTAAGCCATGCAATGAATTTGTATCTCAGATGTGCGTACACATTTCTTGATGCCAATTTCAATCTCTATGTGCTATTTTCAATTTCAGTTGACATTATTATTGCTTAAGTTAGTGTGGTTTGTTTTCTCTGCATTTTGGCAAGTCTGATATTATGTAACTTGTCTTTATCTATCATGTGCTGGAGCCAATGAAACCTCTGGCTTGGAATAGGGTTCGCTTGGAAGGATAAGTGGAAAGGTTTTGACTTCGACTAGTTAGTCTTTGTTCTAAGAGGATGGAATTAAGATTAAACTTTTGGCATGGCATTTTATTCCATTTGATTCTATAGTTGAGGTGGAAATGCTTTTCAAGGGTAGAATGCAACGAGGGAAGCATCATCCATTAACATCCTAGCGAGCATGCGTATAATGACTACTAATTTGCAATTCTTTAACATTCACTCCTATATACATTCTGACCTGGTTCCTTGGAAGCATTAAACTTCCCGTCTATTAACATATTTAATATTATTTAATGAGAGCAATCTCAAATAAATGCATGCAAATTCATCTGGAGTTGTTCTGAAACATTCTGATTAAGCCATCGAGGACTTGTTGATTTTTGATACTGAAGTTAAGAACAATCTTATATACGGATTCAAAAAATGTAATTTATCTAGTGTGGTGTTACATGAGTTTTTATTTGATGCAGATGAACCCCAAATAGTTGAACTTCGTCGATTTCTTGAATTTCAGTTGCCTCGGCAATGGTCTCCATCGTATGATGATGTGCTTCATGGATTTCGTCCTAGATGCCAAAAGAACAAGTCGCCATCCCTCCAGTTCACCTTGTCGGGCTCCAAGCTTTATGTTAACACAATAAAGGTAACTTCTTGTTACATTATTTAAAGTCTGATCTGAAGGTTGCTTAAGCCTACATTCAAAAAGGAGGGGGAATGTAAAAACCTTCACACTTAAGATTGTTTGCGGTCTCGTCACATGCTTAATTTTCCTCCAGAGACATTTTCAAAGCCATGTTTGGTGTACGGACATAATCATGGAAAACAAGGTTGATTTTTACTTTTTAATATAGTGTCCGTTATATCTTTATCGTTGCTACTAAACATTGTTTGTTCCTTAGTCTTATTATTGTTATTATTAAGTAGGAGTATAGGAATCATTTTGCATCTGTTTTTCATTACTTTTCAATAATACCTTACATTCTGCCTTTTAACTTCACAAATTTGCAGGTTGACTCTGGATATTGTCCTGTTACAGGTATCTGCTTGTTCTTGGAAGGCAGAAAGAGTGACCCTCTAGCTATCCATCTCCAGCATCATTCAAATCTTCCACAAGTCCTTAAAATCTCTTATGATATTGTTGTGAATCTAATGATGAGCCAGTTGACAAAGGCTACTTTGAACCTGTGAAGTGGAAAAGGCTTTCACATGTCTGCACAGCGCCAGCATTGTACAATATTTCCCTTGATGATGAGGCCCCAGCCATTGTAACGAACGCCTGGCTTGAGGTCAAGCATGAGAAGAGGAGAAAAGTTCTTTTCTTGAGGCTTGGGTTTTCCCTGGTAGAATCAGCAGAAATTTACGGATCAGAATGGGATGGATCTCCGTTTCCATTTCGAAAGTCAGGGTTCTTTTCAGCATTGATGAGCATAATGCTGACCAAGGAACTGCATCACGTGATTGAGAATGAAAAGCCGACTGAAGAAGATAGCACAAAACCAATAGTTTATAATGGTGAGTCTGGTACTGCGGCACCTGTTCCAATAAAGGCCCCAAAAATGCTGAGCTTTGTGGATACAAAGGAAAAGGTTAGGGGTCCAGAAGACGCGTGATATTAGGTGGTCACTAGTGCCAAACTCTGTATAGAGGGAGGCAAAATCTTCATCAAGGCCAAGTATCCATTGTGAGCTATTATGTTAGGAGATTTTGCGACTACTTAAATCTCAGTCAAAAGCAACACCCAAGGCGGCCTTTGACCAATTAACAGCATGCGCTCTATAACATAAAAGAAAGATAATGATAATCCAGAAACAACATTTGCCCGAACAAAGTCTTTCACTGCGGTAAACACAAAAACAACTAAAATTAATAGTATATTATACAACTGATCCATGTCCCTAATGTGGCAATATTACAATGAAATCAAAGCATATATAATGAATGGTGGAGGCGATGCTACTTTCCATAATAGCTTCCAAGCCTTCGGAGCCTTCCTTAGTGGTCCTTCTTCAAAACTCCAGCAAAGAACTGGAAAAAAAAAAAGGAAAAAGAGTGAGACAAACGTTTCAGTCAAAGCCATTTGCAGATCCTAAACGCTAAAATGGTACAATAACCACCTTTCATCAATCATGCACTTCAAGCTATGTTGATTGATTTGGATTATATAAGTACCTCTGCAAATATCTTGCTGTCAATATAACATAGCAAATTCATACAGAAACTTCTATCTTCATAAAAATTAAAGAATGGGGCAATATATAAAAGTAAAGACTTAATTTTCATTCGAAAATTAGATATTAATCATTGCAGTTAATGTCTTGATGATGCATATTGAATTGAAACTCAAGCCACATAGCGCTGTAATATCAATAAATGGTACTCACTTGTTCCCGAAATTCAGCTTGTGCATCCCTGCATGCAAAGTTTAGCGGGGAAAAAAAATAATCAGCGAAGGCTCTTGGTAAAAAAGAACGTTACTGCAGCAGATGAAGAAGAATAATTAATACTTTGATATTTCTTTTTTATGTTCTATAAATCAATAAATTTGTTACGGCTTGGTTCAATGCCATTAGTCTCTTACAAATTTTCTCTTATATGTTGCTTTTCATAATAAAATATCATTACATTATTTTTATATACTACCTTTAGTCCTAACTATAAGACCTCATTTGTATATTATAAACGAGGTCTTGTAATTAGAATAGGAAATAGTATAATTTAACGTGTGTGCGTGCAATATATATGCAATTTTCTTACCAAAAAAGAAATATGTAGTTTTTAAAAATATAAAAAAAAAATTTGTGTGCATGTATCATTTACCATTTTACTAAAATATTAGATGCCGAACATGACTTAGAATTCAATGTCAGGTCTTTGAAGTATCTTTGATTTATTTATTAATAAACTAATTAATTATTCACAAATTTTGAAAAATTAAACCATTTAATATTCCTTATATAAGTTTCAATAAATTTATTGCATATAATGGCTTTAAGGTTTTAATTAGGAATGAAAAAAGAAGTACATTCATATAATTGTTTTTTGCCAAATACTCATTAAACGTTTTTAATTAAATAATAAAAACAGACAAGACAATGCCCAAGTTAAGGAGAAATCAAGGGCACGAAAACCCAATAAACTTCAAACCCAATAAAAGAACACACGCAGGTTTTTCTTTTTTCTTTTTCTTTTTTTTTGGCTATAAAGATCACACGCAGATTTACATCTCAAAAGACATACAAATTTGCTATTTCTCTTCATTTTCCCTTCAGTTCTATAGAAGTGCGGAAACAAGACATATGCAGGTAACAGTGACAATATCAAAATTTTCATATATGTTATTTATACTTTTTTGGTTGAAATCTGTTGTGCGTACTTTAATTAAAAATTCTAGAAATTTTAAAACGTTGTGAAATTCAAGTGTAACGATCCATATGAAATATTGGAAAAATAAATTATTCATAGACATTATAATCTCATGATAAATATTTATATGCATGCAGTGCTTAGGTGACCAATAAGAAAGCATTGGCATTTGCAAAGTAAGAATAACTTTACTCTAAAGCCTTTAACCGATTCCGTTTACTTGGCAGAAATATTACCTTTCCAATTTTGATGAAAGAAGATGCTTGGTTGCTTCGTCTTCCCATTCCAATTGATCCAACAACTGATCAGGATATATTATAAAGCGTTGTAGGCTTTTCAATGCACTTTGAGCATTAAATGGGAGCTTCTTCAAATTGGGGCACTTTGCTACTTGAATCTCCTTCAAACAAGGAAACTGTAATGCTATTCTACAAATGCTCCTTAAGTTACTCAGATATCGTAAATGAAGACAAGTGAGACTAGAAAATAGATTGCTTTTCACTCTCTCAATGTCAGCAGTCCCAAAATCTGCACTCACTACTTCAACCAATGAATCACAATCGGTTATTTGAAGGACTTCAAGGTTTGGGGCATGCATAAGCCAATTCAAGTCAACTATATTGCCACACCCATCGAGAACCAACTCGCGGAGGATGATTATATATTCGTGTCCTTGAAATGAGCTTCTCGGAATATCCACAGCGTTGGAATTCATAACTGCTAATGTTTCGAGATGCACCATCTTTCTAAGTGATGAGAAGAAGTCATGGAGTGGTGAGCTTTCTCCTTCAACGATTAACCCACAAATGCACCTTTGCAATTTTGAGGAGATCAGTATTTTTCCAATAAAGGACATTCTAAAGACAGATATGCGCATATCTTGAAGATGATCTAAGCCTTCTAGCTCATCCAACAACACATTTTCATCAATCCCTCGAACTTGCGACAGTGTCGTGCTAAAAGCTTGAAGGCGTAATAAACCGGATATAACTTTTTCTGGGAATTCGAGCTCTTCTAGTCCTTCCAGCAACAAGAACCTCAGCTTCTTCGAATTCTTCAACTCCTCTGGCAATTTTCTTATACCAGTATATGATAGGTTCATGTGTTCGAGGCTGACAAAGTCCCCAGTTTCTGATGGTAGGTCTCCTATTTCGTAACTTGATGACAAGTCTAGAACTCTGACAGTGCTTGGAAGGACAAATACCTCAGTTGGAAAGACTCGTATTCCATTATCCCTAATAAGCAGAGTGATGAGATTAGGACAACGAGGTTTTTGCGAGAAGCTTGTACTCACTTCACCCCCGCCCCACATTGATAGCTTTTCTACGCCTTTCCACTTTGCATGATTGTATGCTTCAAGGTCACTGGTCTTGGAACAATCTCTTATAATGAATCTTGCCTCTTTCCCACGATCACAAGCTAGCCAGAGAGCCATATCTCTGATCACATCATGCATCTTAATTGTATTTTCTTTCTCACCATTTTCCAATAAGCAAGCGTACTTTAGATTTGAAATTATTTCTTCTCTTTGCTTACGTGCTTCATGTATATTATCATAATCAAGTTCAGCCAAAAAGCCTTCAGCAATCCAGAGCAAAATAAGCTCTTGCTTTTCAATATTATGGTCCTCAGGGAATAGGGCACAATACAAAAAGCATGATTTGTAGGTATCATTTGGTAATCTATCATAACTAAATTCAAGCAAGTGATAGACATCTTCACTGATACCTTAGACCTTTGAGGGATAATGCCTCAGAATTTCTATACTACGCCTCCATTCATTGGGAGTCTCCTTGTTAGCCCTGGCACGTCCAATAGTACAAAGAGCAAGTGGCAAGCCTTTACATTCTTTCACCACTTGTTTTGCAAGAGGCAATATATGAGGGCTTTGACGAATTGTCCCACCCACTTTGTCCTTGAACAACTCAAATGCTTTATCTGGTGTGAGACAGTTTACTTTTATGAGTCTTTGTACATCCATTAGGCGACATACCTCTTTCGACCGAGTCGTGAATATTATCTTGCAGTCATGATTTTTTGGAGAAGGAACCCCCAATTTCAACAAGTCAATCCTTGCCCACACATCATCTAATAACAACACAAATTTCTTGCTCTTTAAGATGTTGTATAACAAAAGAGCTCTGTCATCCATCGTCTTATCATTCCATTCGTCAATCGTCATCTCTGACATGCAATTTCTTCCCAATGGCTTCTTGAATTTTTCCTTCATCTGCATCTTTAGACGCCACAGCCCAGATGACTACATCGATTGCTTTCTTTGAGAGGAAATTGTTGTTGAATTTATTCAGCAGGGTTGTTTTGCCTACCCCTCCCATTCCATACAAACCAATGATGCCTACCCGATTGTTCTCAAAGCATGAACATAGCTCCTCAAATGTTGATTCTACTCCCACAGTCTTATCCACTGGAAGTTCATCGAACCCATCACGGGTAAGCTTTTCTGCTATAACATCAAAATGGCCTTCGCTTGTAAGATGATTAACGTCACTCAGCTTCTGGGCAACCATTTTAGGTAGCTCGTAGGTAGCTCGACAGCTCTTGGGACAACGACCTCTGAAGCACTTGGCTTGTATTTCTCCTTCACCTTGCTGCAAAATGGATCGGACTTCATTTTGTAGCACTTCTACTCTGCCCATCCAACCCCTTACCCGTTGCAAAACCGTCAGCCTTGGGTCTTGCTCTACCGTTTTGACCTTCATCTTGACATCAACATACATGTCATCGAGTTGATTTGAAGCATTTCTCAAAGAGATGAGGCTTTCTCCAAGATTGCGTACTGAATCTGCCCATTTGGCGCAATAACCACACAGACGACTTAGGATGTCAATCACTGGAGTAATGAAGTCGGCCATGGTTTGGTTTGGGTGCACCAAAGAAGTGAAGAATGAAGGAGATTGAGAAGGAGAAAGACACAAATGCAATGAATAATGTTTCAGGTTGGCGAAGAGCAATGTTTGACTAGTCTCTCGCTCCTTTACTTTTATAATTTATGCATGATAAGTGTCTTGTCGCCTTCTCTCTCTCTCTGTTTTTTTTTTTTTTTTTGAAAAAGATTAAAATTCTTCGTCTTCTCTTTTATTAAAGGGAAAAGTGAACATTGAAAAGCAGGAATTGCGATTTGAGGACTTTGCTCTGGCCTTGGATTGGTTTTTAAAATATAGAACAGCGATACATATTTTATTTAATTTTATTTAAGTTGATGGGTAGCCTTGTAAAAGAAAATAAT